TTTTTTTTTTTGCCTTTTCATTATTGAAAGACAGCTGTGCTCACCACTATGCCACCAACACGCTTTTTCACTATTGACAACGTAGGAGTAATAGCCTTGTGACAATATAATGTTATCCCTACCTGTGTGTCGGGCTGCTGTGCAACGTGTGTGTGCACGTGTGTGTACATGTGTGCAAGCGCGTGCATGCATGTGTGTGCGTGCACGTGTGTGTGCATGTGTACATGTGTGTGCTGTGTGTGCTTGCTTTAGACGCCCGGGATCTGTCAGTATTTTGCTGTGAACGCTCAGCTGTCTGTATACGCCCAGAGCTCACCTTCCAGCGCCCTTGAGCATCTGTGCGGCAGACCCTGGCTCGGCCCGGCAGTGTCCGCCCTGAGCCCTGGCAGTGGCCTCCAGCTTTTCCTGCAAAGCAGGGCTGCTGGCAATCATTGTCACTTCTGTCTAAAAAGGGCTTCATTTCACTTTCATTTGTGAAGGATAATCTCACCAGTTTTAGAATTCAGAGCTCACACACTTTGAGGATGTTTCTCCTTTGACGCTGAGCACCCCTGGTCTCCAGTGAGAAGTCCGGGGTCACAGGCACGGCCGTCCCTGCGCTGATGTAGCAAATGTGTCTTCTCCCGCTGCCTTTGAGGTTCTCGCCTTGTCTTCTGTTTCAGTGATTTGAGCACCACGTGTCTGGGCGTGGATTTTTGTGTTTATTCTGCGTTGGGTCTCTGATCTTGGATCTGTGGTTTGGTGTTTTTAATCAAATGTGGGAAGATTTTGATTTAAATGTTTTCTTCTGCCTCGTTCTCTTTTCCTTCTGGAAGGTCCAGCTGTATGTGCGTTGATCGCATTGCATTATCCCCGTTCTGTTCATGTTTGTTACCATCCCCTTTGTGTGTTTCAGTTTGGGTAACCGCCAGGGGTCTCCCTTCTGGCTCCCTGACGCCCTCTGGACGGACGGCCGGGTGGCTCCCCGTCCCAGCCCTTTTCCCTACACTCTCATCAGAGTCATCGTGGCTTGTGCAGCTTCAGTATTGGCACCGTTGGTACATTTCTGTCCAGTATTTTCTCTTGATCAGGGGTCACGCTTGCCTTCTGCTTACGCTTCTGGCCTCTCGCCTGTTGTTTGTCTGTGGGTCCCGGGAAACTCGCCCCATGTGTGCAGTTCGGGAGCCAGACAAGGACTTGAGAGAGGTTAACGAGGAGACATCAGGGCTCCCCTTCTGTGCCTCCCTCCTCCCTCGGATATTCCTCTTCTGTCTCTAGACACTCTGGGAACTCCAGACTCTCCCCTCAAGACCCCCAGCCAGTCAGCCTGCCGCACCCACCCGAGTGCAATGCCCACGTGCGGTGGGACAAAGACAGTCCTCAGAGGAAAAGTCAGACAAGCACACACCTTGTGCATGTGATTCCCTTTGTTCAAGGGTCACGGCCCCTTCAGTTTCTGCCTGCCCTTGGCCACTCTCCAGAACCTTCCAATAGTTGCATGCACAGTCGTGTTTACAGTTGCTTTCGGCAGGGGTCAGTCTAACAGGCAGCCCTCTGCCACCATCAGAAGCCAAAAGTCAGGAGGCAAACTTCAAAAAAAATTTTTTTTTTAATGTTTATTTCTGAGAGAGAGAAACAGAGCACAAGCAGGGGAGGGGCAAAGAGAGAGAGAGAGAGAGAGACAGAATCCAAAGCAGGCTCCAGTCTCTGAGCTGTCAGCCCTGACATGGGGCTTGAACCCATGAACCATGAGATCGTGACCTGAGCTGAAGTCGGACACTTAACCAACTGAGCCCCCCAGGTGTCCCTGGAGGCAAACTTTTAAAGACAACCTCAATGCAAAGTGTGCCACTGGAGAGTTTCTGCAGCTCTCACCAGCCCGTGGGGGCAGATGGGGTCAACAGAACCCCCTTCCTGCGGACATGGGAACTGAAGGCCCAGCAGCCTGCACTTGCCGTGGTTCAGGCTCCCCTGGGCGTTGACATGCTCTCCCATCGGCCACAGACCCCGCCCCGGGGAGCGACCACGTTCTCCCTCTCCTCGGCCCCTACCATTTGCTGTCGCCCAAAGGGCCTCTCCCTGTGCCCGCCCCTGGTTTTCCCGGGAAAATGTCTCCGTTTATTTCCGCCCCCACCCTCTCCCTCCGGGGCTCAGACCCAGGGCCCGGACCCGGACCCCTCGGGTCCTCTCCTTCCCTGCACCACCTGCGTCACCACAATCCCTGAGATGCTGGCCATAAACCGGACATGAACTTCCTCCTCGTGGGCCCCACGTGCAAATCAGCGCGTGCAGCTGGAGGTCGGGGCAAAGGCTCCACGGCTCACCACTCGTGTCCAAGTCCGGCCCCGTTGCGCCACGTGCGTCTCATCCCCGAGGGCTGTAAGTGATTTGTGGACGAGCAGCCTGCGTGGGAGCCCAGAGACGGGGCTGCCGACGGGGTCCGAAGAAAGCCTCAGGCCAGGGAGAGCGTGTGGTGAGGAACACAACTATCTAGAGGCTGCTCCCGAGGTCAGAGCCAGGACTGGAGGAAGCAGGGAGGGCTCCCTGGAAGAGGTGTCATAGCAGCCGGAGGGGCAGCATTGCACATGGGGGAGTGGGGGACTCAGAAGGCTAAGGGGCACTTTGCACAGATGACCTCTTCGGGCGTGGGTGCAGCTGGGCACCCACCCTCGGGACAGGAGTGGTGGCGACGAGGCCAGGAAAGCGAGCGAAGCCAGACGGGGACCGCCACCCGACTGGTGCCTGCAGCACAGCGGGGCCCCAGCCGCGTCTGCGGGTTAGGGGTGTCTCCCCGCGGCCGCGCCGGGACCCTTCCGAGGGCCTCTCTTCACGCCCGCCCCCCCCCCGCACTCCTCTTTCTGTCCCAGACGTTCGGCGCCGCGGACTGGGAGGTGTTTCACATCGGAGAGAGGGTCTTCCTGGCCGTCGCCAACAGTCACAGCTACGACGTGGAAATGGAAGCACGCAACGACTCCTACGTCATCAACTCGGTCATCTACGAGCTGAATGTCACCGCGCAGACCTTCGTCAGGTTCCAGGAGATCACCACCTGCAGGTGCGCCTCGAGGCTGGGGGCCGGCTAGAAGGGCAGGGCACGGCGTCCCAGGGGCTCTGAGGCGTCGGCTGCCTGCGCTGCCCGCTGGGGCCCACCCGGCGGAGGCGGCACGGCTCTGAGCCCCGCGCGAGACTCCCAGGGCACACGCGGCGGCCGCCTGAGGCGCGGTGCGCGGCCGCCGGGGGCGTGACGTGGCCTCACTCCTCAACACGTTGCGAACCTCCCGCTGGGCCCGCTGACGGACTCCGTGGCCTCTGCGGTAAAACCTGGATTGCGAGTCTGCACGACGAGCAACCGTCTCGAATAAGCTTCGACTTGGCAAACGCGCGACGTCTTGCCACACGCCCGGCGTCACATGACCCCAGCTGAGCCAGCGGTTCTTGAAATGTGCTTTGAGATACAAGTGCTTTGGATGACGAGCCTGTTTCCAGGGCGAACTGCGCTCGCAGACCAAGGTTTTACTGTATTTGTGGGCTCGGCTCTCACCGCTTTCCAACACTGTGGCTGGTTGCTTGGCTGCGATTCAGTGATTTTTATTAAATTCACAGAGATGTGCAACCACCACCAGGTAACTTGGAACGTTTCCATCACCCCAAGAAGAACCCCTACCATTCAGCTGCCCCTCCTGCCCCCACCCCAACGCTGGCAACCAGGCTCTACTTTCTGTCTCCACGGGGTTCCCCATTCTGGATGTTTCCAAGACGTGGAGTCATATGGGAGGTGGCCTTTGGTGCCTGGCCGCTGTCACTCAGCGTGCTCCTCGAGGTTCACGCACGCTCCGGTGTGTGTCAGCACTGGCCGAATAATACTCCATTATGCGTGGGCGGATCCGTTTTGTGTACCCCCCTAGATGATGGACATGTGGGTCTCTCCACCTTGACCAAACGGTGTGGCTCTGGAGGACAGAGATATACCCGTTCTGGGGGCTCAGCAGGGACTCACGGCTGGACGCCTCCGTTTCTACTGCGTTAAAGCAAAGCTGGCCTCTGCTAAGAGTCTGGTGCAGACAGCGTGAGTCCCACGCGCCTTGACTCGAGAACCCGCCGCCTCTGGACGACTACCTCCCGGGGCACCACCCTGCCCGTCACCCGCGGCCACACCGCACAGACGAAGGCGTGGCCGGCCTCTCCTCGGGGAGCATTTGGAGCCGAATCATAACTGGCCGTCACTGGAAGCGGCCCTAGACACGAACCTGGTGGTGGAAGAGAAGAGGCGATGCCCCCGAGTGTCCCAGGGGCCGCGTGAGCCCCCTGCTCTAGGCCAGCGCCTCGGCCCCCACAAGGAAGGCGCCCAGAGGCAAGTCCGCAGTAACACGGGTGGCCCTCCACCCCCTGAACAGGCCACGGCTCTGAGATGCTGGACGCAGACACAGTGGCCTGGCCTTGGGCGCCCGGCCGCATCCTGCCTGCCGCACAGCGGTGGCCTCGGCTTCCCCATCCAAGAGGAGTGCGGCGGCAGGGGGTGGGGCGTGGGATGAGAAACAGCTTCTGAACGCAGGAGGAAGTTTCTGTGTCGGCACCTGAGCAGGTACCAAGCAGGGAGCCGAGGGGCAAGCCCGTGCCCTCACTCCTGCTTCCAGGGGCTCTGCACGCCCCTGCGGAGTGACCGCAAGCTGGGGACCTCTTCTCTGCTGGCTCCCCGCTCTTCACAGTGACGGAGTTTTGTCTTCGTTCCACGGCAGCACAAGCACCCGTGGACGGACGGAGGGATAAGCAAACCGTCCCTCCACACGGTGGAGGGTCATCCGGCCTTGAAAGGGCTGTGACACAGGCCACCACACGGCGGACCTCGAGGACGTCATAGCGAGTGAGATAGGCCAGTCACCAAAGGCCAAAACGGTGTGATTCCACTCGTACGAGGCCCCTCGAGCTTGTAATTCAGAGACGGGGAGCGGGGTGGGGGCCAGGGCTGGGGGCGCAGGGTTAGTGTTTCATGGGGACGGAGACTCAGTTTGGGGACCCGAGAAGTTTCCGGAGACGGACAGTGGCGATGTTAGACAGTGTTATTAATGTACTTAACACTGCTCGACTGTATGCTTAAAAATGGACGGGATGAAAATTTTATGCCATTTGTATTTTATGATTTAAATTCAAAAAACGTTTTTAAAGTGAACGGCCAGTTTGCACCTCCCTGGAACGGACCCATGCACCGTGTCACGAAATCGCTCTGGATCTTGGGTGGGCAGTGGGCCCGGGGTTCTGCGCCTGGGGGAACGGGCTGGAAGCCAGAGCGCCGGCTGCCGCTGATGCCTGCTCACCTGTCTCCGCAGCGCTCTGGACTGGGAGTTTTTCTCGGTGGGAGAAGATTATTTCCTGGTGGTCGCAAACTCCTTCGACGGAAACACCTTCCTGGTAAACAGTATTATTTACAGGTAAGGAGCCTCCGAGGGCCACCCCCTTCCACACAGCCTGGGTTTGTCGGCAGTGGGGTGAGCGCCGGCCACAGCCAGGCACAGGCGGGCAGTCTGTGGGTCCCCTCAGAGCAGGCCGAGTCTGGGTCATGCCCCAGGGTCAGCCGGGTGGCCCGCTGGTCACGCAGACGCCCCACCGTCGGATCCTGGCCGCAGGCACGGTATTCCGACACCGTGCCTTGAGAGTTCGCGATATTTCATCCTATGAAATGTTCCCGTCCAGGACTGTGGCAGCTCTGTCCCCATGTCAGATGTCCTGCCTTTCCTCCACGCACCGGGGCGCTGCCTTGAAGTCGCCTCTGGGAGGTTTTCGAGTTGTGTGAGCACAACACCTGGAACGTTTCCCTTTCTATCTCCAGCTGTTGATCATGACGTTTTCCACCTGCCCCCCCAGACTGGGGTAGTTCAAATAGTAAGATGTATCTACTTTCTTTGTGGTTAGCTTAAATTCTTTTTTTTTTTTAATTTTTTTTTTTTTTTACATTTTTATTTATTTTTGAGAGATAGAGCACAAGCAGGGGAGGGGCAGAGAGAGAGGGAGACACAGAATCCAAAGCAGGCTCCAGTCTCTGAGCAGTCAGCACAGAGCCCAATGCAGGACTCGAACCCGCAGACGGTCAGATCATGACCTGAGCCGAAGTCAGACGCTTAACTGACTGAGCCATCCAGGCAGTCCTGGCTTAAATTCTCTTATAAAGCCACTGGGGCTTTGTTCTCGTTCAATAGCGTCTCTTGAACAACTTGCCCAATTTCTCCCACGGTTATCAGTGAAATCAGTTTTTTCTTTTACCTGTCCTCCAGACAATTTTGGTCATCTATATCTTACTAGAAAAATCGCCAAGTTTCTTTAGCCTGTTTGATTTACTAGAAAGTAGAATTTTTAACATGACAAAGTAGTTTTGAAATTCATGTGGAAGAATAAATTTTCAAATGTGGCCAAGATTTTGAAAAAACACAGTAGGGGAGGAGGCCCTCAGACAATGGAAACACAGCAGGTGGTTTCTGCGAAAACTAAACACGCAGGCGGGAAGGCATATAGTCCAGAAGAGAAGCCAGCAATTTACGAACATTTAATGTGACAAATGTGTTTCAGGTCAATGAGGAAAGCATGTGCTATGTGTTACTTAATAAGTAATTGTGTATAATTTCCTATCCGTCTGGAGGAAAACACAGCCATACCCTGCTGCATATTAGACACAGAAATAAACTTTACAGGGATTAAAAATCTAACTGTAAGCAAGTAAACAACAGAAATATTAGCAGAAAAGCTAAGACAACTTTGACCACAAGCTTACCCAGGAGGGCGCAACGCCTCCGTAAACAAGGCCTGTGCAAGGTTGCCGGGAAGATACCCTAAACTTCAGGGTTCTGGGGGAAAAGGCATCCTATTCACAAAGAAAACTATTGGGGCGCCCGGGTGGCTCAGTCAGTTAAGTGTCTGACTTAGGCTCGGATCATGATCTCACGGTCTGTGGGTTCGAGCCCCGTGTCGGGCTCTGTGCTGACAGCTGGGAGCCTGGAGCCTGTTTCGGATTCTGTGTCTCCCTCTCTCTCTCTCTCTCTCTCAAAAAAAAAAAAAAAAAAAAAAAAAAAAAAAAAAAAAAAAAAAAAATTAAAAAGAAAACTTTTGACCACACATTTAATGGAAGAGGAACCCCTACAGGTTAATCAAAGCTACTTTTAATTTGGAAAAATGGGCAAGGACACGAACAGGAATCACGGGAAGAAAATCAGAAACCTGAGTAGAGCAGACATTAGGAGCTGCTCTCTCAAAGCCTGAGGACGGTGCCTCCCCAGCTTTAAAGGCAGTTTGAAGGCCCCGCCCCTTGCGGAACAGCCCCGCCCTTCCTTCCCCGTCAGAACAGGACCTGCCCAGGCCCTTCTGGGAAGTTTCTGGGCAAATACCAAATGAAAACCATGGTGCCCTTTGACCCAGGTGCCCGCCGTGGGAACCCCACCCTAGAAAGTGAAGCCACCGCCAGTGAACCCCTTTTGGAGGGCAAACCCTAGAACGGCTGATGGCCACACATGGTGGGCAGGTGTGGGGGCCCAAAGTGGGGAAGGGGCCAGGCTGCAGAGCCCCCTGTAAACAGACGGCACGATGGTGATGCCCTTGTGGTGACAGGTATGTGTTTGAGGGCACGTGCTCACTGTCAACACCGACCCCAGGAGTAGGGGAGGCCCTGGCTCAGCCCCTACAATGAACCTTCTGGAACCGCCGGGATCCCCTCCACGTCCCCCCTGCCCGTTGAGGGGGGGTGCCTGCCGCACGGCACTCTGGACCAGGGGCAGAATCCGGGATGGATGCGAGGAGCTGTGGGGTCTGGGACAGGGCAGTGTCCCCCTTCTTGCCTCAGTTTCCCTCTCTGCAGGCTGACTGTGGTGCGGAGAGCTTGTGCAGCCCGGGGGGGGGCAGGTGGGGGCAGAGGGGCAGGAGCAGGCCCGGAGAGGGTCCCGGAGGGTCCCGCTCGGACGCCCAGCGCACCTCGCCCCCCCCCGCCTGTGGCCGGCCAGGCTGACGGTATGTCTCCGGCAGGTGGCAGGGGTATGAAGGGTTCGTGGCCGTGCACAGCCTCCCGACCTTCGGCTGCAGAGACTGGGAGACCTTCCGCACCGCGGCGGGTTCCTACCTCGTCTACTCCAGCGCGAAGGAGCCCCGCTCCCGGGTGCTGAAGCTGAGGACGGGGTGAGGGCACCGGCGCCCCTCCCGGAGCCCTGGGAGAAGCCGGCCCTTTCCAGGCCCTGGCCCTCGTCCGGGGGGCCGTCCGTCCACCTGTCTGCCCCGGTGACCGTCGTGGCGGATTTGGGGGCTCCACGGGCGGTCGGGCCGGAGTCGGGTGCTGCCCTGTGACCCCGGGCGGGCTGCCCGGGGTTCGCCTCAAGGGAGAAGTTCATACAAAATTTTACCTCAGAACCAGCGGGACCTCCCCACGGTCCTCCCGGCCCACCCGGGCGCGGGCACAGGCTTCACGCGGATTCACGTATCTCACACTGGCTATTTATTGTATACTGTCTGTACAGAAATATATTTATGACGCTCTTTACCAAAGGCCTGAAGGCGTCTGCGTGTTTGTGGGGGGGACGGTTCACTCGGCCAGCGCGGTGGGATGTGCCCTCGGGTCCCGGGTCACCGAGCAGGAGGGCGCCCCTCCTCTGCAGGGACTCGCTGCCTCTTCTGGCCCCGGTTTAGCCAGGAATGCGGCGGGGGTCGGTTTCGGGGAGGAACCAGCGGTGCGGGACCTGGGTCCCACCCCATCCCACCCTGTGCAAAGCCACGCAGGCCGGCTCCCTGGTCACTGCACTGGCCTCGTGGACGTGCGGGGTGCACTGGGGACACCTCCTCGGGGCCCGCGCTCACTCAGCTCCCTTGTCTAGAGCCCCAGCCCTGCCCGGCGGGGGCCTCCTGCCTCCCTGGGCGCGACAGGACACACCCCCTCGCAATCTGCATGTGAAAGAACGGCCATGTGCTGCAGCCTTTGCTGGGAAGGCCTGTGGGGTGAGGACCAGGCCAGGCCTGTTCCATCACCCATGGCCACGGGCTCCAGGAGAGCGAGGGCCGGGGAGGGACGTGGAGCCAGGCCACTGCCCGAGCTCAGGGACCCACCCTTGGTTTGATTCACTCTCGGTGATCTTTGCCCAAGATCACAGAGCAGGGGGCACGGCGCAGCCCCAGCTGTCACCGGGGTCTGGCTCCCCACGGCCACGTGCATGTGAGAATGGGGTGCCCTTCCCGCTCCCAGGAAGGAAACCTACCCCACGCCTCCTCCGGCCAAGCCAGATTTGGGATTTCAATACGGATTTCCAAAAGCTGAGATTTTTCTGAGCCCCCTTCAGGCCAATAAGCGGACCGTGTGCCTCGGGGAGGGCTGGAGCTGACCCCGGACGAGGATGTCCCTCCCCAGGGAGAGCCGCAGAGGGCAGGGGGGCCTGGGGCTCGAGGGAGGTCTGGGCCAGGTGGTGATGGCGACAGCCAGTCCAGGGACAGCCGGCCGAGGGTGCCACATAAAAATGCAGGCTCTCCAGCTAAATCTGAATCACAGGTAAACCACGGATGCTGTTTTTAGTATATGTGAACCCCAAATACTGCACGGAACATACACTAAAGGGGTATTTGTCGTTCCCCTGAAATTCAGATTCAAAGCGGTGTCCTGCACTCCCAGAGAGGGGTCATGGGGAGACAAGACCTTCTTAGGGCCAACGGGGGGCGGGGCCTCTGATTTTATCTGAGATTTGACACAAGGAAGAAAGAGACCCCACGGGCTGGGGTGGCCTGCCGGGGGGCGGGCAGCCCTCGGGCAGGGTCGGCAGAGGGCACTGGTGGGTGGTCATCTTGGGGGCTTATTCCACAGGTGCCTCCACACAGGAGAGGGGAGGCCGGCCCGGGATGGTTACTTTTATGTGTCAACCGGGAGGATGTTTCTGGATGAGATTAACACACATCACAGGAGTCTGGATAAAGCAGGTGGCCTTCCGCATGCAGGGGCCTCACCCAATCAGGTGAAGGGAGGAATGGAACAAAAGACCAGCCTCCCCGGCAAGGGGGATTCTCCCGCCTTCAGACCGGAATGCACCTTCGGCCCTGCCAGGTCTCCCCCTGGCCGGTGGCCCTCAGCAGCCGCTGAAATCCTCCGCACCCGGTCCCTGTGACAAAGCTCTTGTCTCTACACATCCCGTCCTGGCGGTTTTGATGCTCTGGAGAGGCCTGGTGAACACAAGAGGCTAACAGGCAACGGCCCGCAGGAGTCCCACTTGCCACTTCCTGATCACCGAGCCTCAGTTTACCCATGGGGGAGGGGCCAGCCGGGCGCCACCCCACGCAGCTTCTCTCCCCCTGGAGTGACCCAGACATACACCAGCAGCCTCTCTGCCAGGCTGGTGTTGCTGTGTGTCTGGCTCGCCATGGGGGACGAGCCCAGGGAGGAAGGAGGCAGGTGACAGCGGCACATACAGTGGGAGCCACCTCATCCTGCCCGGGACTTTGCAAGCAAACGGTGCCTCCGCGTCCTTGGCACAGAATCTGATCTCCGTTCTACTGGGTGGAAACACAAAAGTGTAAATCAAGATCTGTTTAAATTACAAACGCAAGCAAGAGGGGAAGTGGAGAGAACACTAAAATATTTACATCTTTTCAAGTAAGCTCTCCTGGTTTTTGTCCGTTGATGAGCACTTGCAAGGCGGCCTGCGCTTTCCCACGAATTCGCACGTGGTTTGACGTGGCCACCTTCTTGTCACTTTGGCAGCTGAGCCGCATTTCACCGAGGCGGTATTCCGGAGTGTGCCGGGCTGGGCGTCTTTTGTTAACCCGTGGGACTCTCAACCGTCTTTACGGCGGTAAATAACTTGAAGGACGTGTTGGTACAGCTGCAGTTCTCTTGGGGTCATTTCTCCGAAGTCGCGATTTCCGGGAGAAACGTCCGTGAAAACTGCACGGACTTCTCACTCCCAGGGCTCCCTCCTGAAGCCCGGACGAGGCTCGGCACGACCAGGGTGCGGGATCACACCTGCCCCGTCAGCCCGGCCAACGCGGGGCTTCGCCCATTTCACCATCCGCCAGGTCAGCACATGGAGTGCCCTGGCAAGGTCGCGTGTTCACCCTGGTCGACACTCGACACTTCCGGCACGATGGGCTCCTCTTCCGGGCACCTCTTAACCTCGGCACCACCAACATCCCCCTCACCCTCTGCCACACATGCACTTGTATACCTCACATACATGCATGTCCCCCCCAGGCATACATGCCTGCACACACGCACACACACACAGATGTACGCACCTGCACACACACACCCATGCACATCCCCCTCACAGACACACCCACTCATGCACACACACATAACCACCCCATGCACACACATGCACATGTATGCACACACACACCTCATATACATGCACACCCACACCCACCCACACACGTGCACACACCCCCACATACTCCCTCCACATGCCCACTGATGCACATGCACATGTCCACCCCATGCACACATATGCACATATACGCACATACCACTTCACATGCACGCACACCTACACACACCCACACACGTGCACATCCCCTACACATACATAGACACCCATTCACGCACACACACATGCAACACATGCACATACACATACATTCCACTCAAACACATATTCACTCATCCACACATGCCTACACACACATACACGCACCCATGCATATACACCTGTATGTGAACACACACCCATGCACACGTGCATATACATTCTTACATGTGCGCAAATGCACGTATACCCCACAGCTGTGCACACACACACGCACACAGCTGTGTACACACCTTCCAGGCCCTTCTAGCCAGGGACCGTGTCTTGGGCATGTCCCCAAGGTGCCCTGGGAGCTCCCAACCTTCCCCAGGGTGTAAGTGCTCCAGGTGCTCCCTGACGTTCCCCAGGGTGTATGTGCTCCAGGTGCTCCCCACCTTCCCCAGGGCAGGTGCCCCAAGTGCTCCCCAACCTTCCCAGGGTTCACGTGCTCCAGGTGCTCCCCGACCGTCCCCAGGGTGCAGGTGCCCCAAGCGCTCCGCACCGTCCCCTTCTCTAGTTGTATGTTGCTGAGATGACCGTCCAGCGGGACCATGGAGTGCACACATTTCCTGTCAGATGGAGCGGGGTCAAGCCCTGTTCCTTCTCTTTACTGTTTGAACTCGAGCAAGTAACCGAACCCCTCAACCTTGGTCTCCTGGGGTCCCTCACATCTAAAATAGGGGACCCTGGGGGCGCCTGGGTGGCGCAGTCGGTTAAGCGTCCGACTTCAACCAGGTCACGATCTCACAGTCCGTGAGTTCGAGCCCCGCGTCGGGCTCTGGGCTGATGGCTCAGAGCCTGGAGCCTGTTTCCGATTCTGTGTCTCCCTCTCTCTCTGCCCCTCCCCCGTTCATGCTCTGTCTCTCTCTGTCCCAAAAATAAATAAACGTTGAAAAAAAAAATTAAAAAAAAATAAAATAGGGGACCCCTCATCCCCGGGGCTGCAGCATGAGGACGTGGTATGGCCGCTGCGTGGCCCGGGGCACCATTCCTGGACACACGAGTAGGCAACGGTTGGACCGGCCTCGTGGCCACTTACCTGCCCAGGTGTGTTTTCCTAAACAAACTTGGATCACGTAAAATCACTTTTGAAAGAGAAAGACAGGCTGTCCTACTTCTGAACATAGATTCCTTGCCTTAAACCACATGCTAGCAAATCGGCAACACACAACGCCCAAGGGGGTTTCCCCACTCCTGGGAGGACTGTTTCGTACTGGGACAGCCTCTAAAATGATCTGTTATGATTAGCAGCTCGTAAGCGAGCCTGGAGTGAAAGGGCATCTCGGCAAGGTGCGTGGCTCCGTGACTCCGAAGCAGCTCCTTAATTTTGCCCTCATTTTTGTTTAATTTTATTTTGATTTAATTTTATTTAATTAAGACGCACGGACCGTAAGTGTCCCGTTCAGTGAGTTTTGCCAATTATGCAAATCCAGACAACCAGCCCCGGACAAGGTCTAGAGTCTTTCCGGGGGGGGCCCCCAGGCCCCCTGGGGCCCCGTTCCGGCCAATCCCCGCCGTGCCACCTCCCGCCTCTGTCGCTGGCAAGCTTTGTCACCCTCGGGTTCCCTTCAGCGGGGCGCACACTCGCACTCCCGTGTGCCTCTGTCACTCTGCTACGTGGTGGCCACGCCTGCACTTTGCTCATTCT